GTAGAAAGCCTCATCTTTCTCCCGCGGAGCAGCTGGTAGTTTCGAACCGCTGACCTTAAGGTTCGCAGCCCAATTCGTAACCACTACGCTACCAGAGCTTAGAACTTAGTTTTAAAAAAATGAATTATCTCAAAGTTGTTGTGTAAAATGGCATCTAATTTCTCATAAAACTTTGTGAGACTCTTGAATAGACTCATTTAAAAGAAAAATGAGACCCTTTAGAACAATTATCTAGACTCTGCCTTGAAATAGTTTGTTAAATAGTGTTTTATAGAATTGCTATTTTTCTACTGATTGAGTATTAATAAAAATCTTTGATAACATTTTAGGTGCGCTATGAAGCCCTGCAAACATTATGTTCAGCTCCTCCTTCTGATGTTTTGAACTGTGAAAACTGGACCACTCTCTGCGAAAAACTGACAGTTTCTCTTGCAGATCCTGATCCTGTATTTAGTGTAAGAAAAATGGTTGTATAAACATTGATTTATGCCCCACCATTCTAGATGTGAACGAATAATTATTTCTCAAATATTTGAATAATTTCAATAAAGCTCTTGAATTGTCAGAATTTTCCTTAAATGAATTAATTTATTATTTCATGATTAGATTCAGAGTATGGTCAGTATCATATTTCATTGACAAATAATAGTAGACTGTCTGTTTACTGGTACATTTTATCATGTAAAGAAATAGCAAAGTAATTGTCTCATTGTTTTTAATTAAAAAAACAATACAAAGTTAATGAAGAATTAATAATATACCAAAATATGAAATTAGAAATGAGTAAGCACCATCCTAAAGAGCTTGAAGGCATTTTCCTAGTACATTTAAGTGCTTATTTAAAGACTGCTTAACTGCTTAAAAAGAGAAGCTGGAAAAATATAAAGTTTAAGAGTTGAGAAGGTAATTTGAGATGAAGCATATAGCATATATAGAAAATCCTGAAATTGTAAAATTGTGGTCAATGGAAATGCTTGATTGATTTATATACACATTGATTTGCATATGACTACAGAAATATTTGGAGTTCTGGTGTGGTAGGTGTAGTTGGATAAGCACTAGACTGCTAGCCATAAGGTTGGCAGTTCAGACCCACCAGCTGCTCCTTGGAAACCCTATTCTGTGTTGCTGTGAGTCAGAACTGATTTGACAGCACCTAACAACTATATGCTGAGAAGAAAGTATTAAAAGTGCTCTAATTCTCAAGATAGCGTCTCTCTCTATATATAATGTGAATAGAAAAATGAAAACTGACTGCGTCTGAGTATCACAGTTGAAATATAAATTTAATGTTTTTTGGATGTCCTGTCTTTTTTGTAATAATTGATATAAAGAAAATTTGGGGCTTAAAATTGACAAGGTGCTTTGTACTGGATTATTTTAAAGCATTAGCACAAGAATTCAGTTTTTCTAGTTATTCAGCGTATGTATTGAATACGTACAGTTTATATTATTCTAGTTAGATGCTGGGAGCACAATGGATAAGACAAAGTCTTTGCCCTCATGAAACTTACGTTCTAGTAGAGGAGACAGCAAAACAGTATTTATATAAAAATATAAGGTATCTTAATACATTTGTCTATTAAAACCACACTCTGCCAGTAATTAAGTTGTAATTATACTAGTAAAAAGAGTAAGTTGGGAACCACTATGTGGGAAAAGGAGCTCTGGTAGCATAGTGGGCTGTGAACCTCAAGGACAGCAGTTCGAAACTACCAGCTGTTCCGTGGGATAAAGATGAGGCGTTCTGCTCCCGTTAAGATTTACAGCCTCGAAAACCCTGTACAGGGTCCTCATGAGTCGGAACTGACTCCATGGCACATAACAACAGCAACAGCAACAACATGTGTGAAAATGATAAAAATTAAATCTGATGTTTTTTATTTGATTCTGACTCATAGCCTTGTTGTTGCTGTGAAGTGCTGTTGAATCTGTCTCAACCCATAATGACCCTGTATAGAATTTCCGAGGAGTGGCTGGTGAGCTTGAACCGCCTGTGGGAAAGTAGAGTCTTGTCCAGTGAGGTTTCCAAGGTTGTAATCTTTATGGAAACATACTGCTACATCTTTCTCCCACACACAGCGGAGTAGTTCGTGGGTTTGAAACGCCGACTTTTCATTTATCAGTAAAACTCTTAACATTGAGCCAGGGGGGCAAATGTTACACCTAGGTGTAGTTCAACTTTACAAACACCAGAGGGTGTTACAGATTTCTGTAAACAATTTCAATGGATAAAATGATGTTTCAGGGTCACCTTTAACATTTACAGTGCTCTCTAAGAAGACAAAACCAAGACCAAACTCACAGCCATCAAGTCTTTTCTGACTCATAACAACCCTATGTAGGGTTTCTGAGACTGTAAATCTTTACAGGAGCAGAAAGCTTCATCTTTCTCTTGCTGAGCGACTGGTGGATTTGAACTGCCAACCTTGTATAAATGTTTAAATTTATATGTGTTTATATATATATATTTATAGGAGTCCTGGTGTGGCACTATAGAATAAACACTGGACTGTTAACCGCAAGGTCTGTGGTTCAAACACCAGCTGCTCCTTAGAACCCTATTGTTTCAACAGATTACTGTTGAATCTGTCACTATGAGTCAGAACTGACTCAACAGCACTTAACAACACCAACATATATATGTATATTTATGAATATGTAGATATATTTGTCCAGAGTAGCAAATTTGGGGCAATTTTATGTCTTTTTTATTAGGATTAATTTTATTTCAATGTTAAAATTAGTATAATTAAAACCATTGTAGTAAGTGTAATTTTAAAAACTAGTGTTAGATACTGTTCTGTTTTACATATGTTGTATCATTTAATTTACTTTGTGATAATTTATACTTACAAGTTTTGATAATGTAAAAATTTCAAAATATATAATCTTGTAATGTTTCTCTTAGAAGTAGGCAAAATTATTAGTCTGGTGTGGTGCTGCGGGTTAATGCGCTGGACTGTAAAGTTGGTTTGAACTGCAAGGTTGATGGTTCAAGCTCACTAGCCACTACTCAGAAACACAATACAGGGTTGCTATGAGTCGGAACCAATTCAACAGCACCCAACAACAACAAGAGCAATTGGAATCTAATATTAAATTATGAGTCTAATACCTAATTATTGAAACTACCCATGTAAACAGTTAAAAAGTAAGTAAGCAAACCAACTTTGAATTTGGAAACGAGTGCTTGTAAAATTTAGTACTGCCTCCCTTATTTCCATTGTTCATTGACCCTTTTACCTTGTAACTTCCTCCACCAAGCCTTACCTTCCTGTCTTTCAATGTTAGTATACTTACTCATAGCAAAATTTATAATAATATATTGCTGTTATTAAGTTTGCTATATTACTTTTGGTCAGTTTTATTTTGTACAGACTAACACAAGAATGTACCCTTTTGCAGGTATATTCTTACTCAGGTTTCTGAATGGTTTATTTTCTAAGTTTTTTTTTTTTTAATCTAGCTATATAAAAGATGTCTCCTTTATTTCTTTTGTATTCTTATAAGAGTCTTAGATGTAAATGTTTTGTTTCATTTTCATAGGACCGGATTTTAAAATTCTATGCACAGACGTTTACACTTTCACCGTTACACATGACTAAAGAAATTTATACAAGTTTAGGTATGTTTATGAAATCATTTATTAAAATTTTTTTCCTTTCATATGTAACTAAGAAAAATTATATAGGAAATAAAACTTTTTTGCAGAAAGTAATTTAAATGAATAGTATAATTTCGATTATATTTTGCTTTGTCTTTTCAGCTAAACATTTGGAGTTATACTTTCTTTCTAGAGAAAATCATATTCCTACTCTTTCAACTGGTGTAGATATAACTAATCCTAATGTGAGCCGTTTACTTAAAAAGGTATCCATTTGTTATAAAATCCTTTTATTTTTACTTAAATAGTTCTATACTTATAAATTCTATTTTTCTAAAACCTGCTGATCACACTTTACTGTAGGTTCGTCTTCTAAATGAGTATCAGAAAGAGGCTCCATCTTTCTGGATTCGTCATCCAGAGAAGTAAGTTGCTTTAATTTATGACAACATCGCATATAGGAGTCTCTGCCCCCATGTAGTTCAGAGAGCAGGACTGAGTAGAGGCAGTCTTATTTTATTCACATGATTGGGATGGGATTAATAAAGTTTATTTTCTTGGCTTTCTTGCTATATTTGTATGTTTAACTAGGTGAATGTCTCTAAGTGTATACAAGTGCATTTACAGCATTTATTTATCACAGCAAGGTACAAAAGTGTATCTTTAGGGTCTTTCATTGGTTTTTACTACTGTGGACAAGTTTTTTTAAGGTTCTTTAAACTTTTTTCCTTTCAATGCTAAAATGATTAATGAGGTTGTTTTATAGCATCTGTGAATCTAAAAAGGAAAGTTAAATTTGGAAAGCCAGTAATACAAAAGAAAGAACATATATTTTTAAGGTAGGAAAAAAAATTGGGCATGAGTCCCACCTTTGCTATTTATTAAAAAATAGTTTTAAAAGATTATGTGTAACTTTTCAAATATAAAATGTATCACCAGTACTGTATATATATATATATATATAACATATTGGTTTGTCTCTAAAATAATTTCCTTTCCAAAATTTAAGGTATATGGAGGAAATTGTGGCAAGTACTCTGTCATTGCTATCAGTTAGACATGATCCAAGCCATCTGCTCTCACAAAAGATTTTGGATCCAATTTACTTTCTTGCATTAGTTGATGCCAAGGCTGTGTGGTTCAAAAAATGGATGGTAAGGAGAAATAGAATATGTTTTTATACCTGTCGTTGCATTGCTAGATTATTTTTAAAAATAGCTAACTTTTATTGAATGTTTATTGTATGCTAAGGATTTTGTTCTATTTTCCATGCATGTGTTAACTCATTTAATTCTTAAAAAAAGGAAAAAAAGAATGTGTTAAGTGGCATTGTTAGCTTTCCATTTTAAAATGCAGCAACTGAAGCAGAGAGAGGCCCAGGTTGCCATTATTTACATAGTCCTGGTGTGACCCTGAGTTAAAGAAAGCATGGGACCACAAGGTCAGTTTGAACCACAAGGTTGGTGATGCGAATTCACCAGCCACTCCTTGGAAACCCTGTAGGATCACTGTGAGCCTATGCTGACTCAACAGCACTTAACACAACAAAGAGCCTGACAAAAATTTTAAATGGTAATTCATTTGCTGATTGATCTATCCAAAATCCAGTTTTCTTTAGTTTATAAGTTTGAAATTTAATAAGTAGATATAGTAGAACATACAGAGTCAATGCTTATTTTTCTCTGGTTTAGGAAGGAATATATTTGAAAATGTCTCTTCATTTGCTTTCTCCAGAACCTGCAGCTTGGGGGATGCATAATCTCTGATTGGTGGCAGTTTCCTATGGCGTTCATCACTGTCCCAGAACTAAAACTAATGTTGTTGTTAAGTGCCTTCGAGTCAGTTCCGACCATAGAGACCCTGTACAGGGTTTCCAAGGAGCACCTGGTGACCTTGAACCACTGACCTTGTGGTTCAGTGTGACTTTGCAGTCCAGCACATTAACGCACAGCACCATATCAGGACTCATATTAGAGATACTAATATTTTTATTTCCTTCATCCACTGTTGAATAAGAGAGGGTTGAGTCTAGCAGTAGAAGCAGTAGTGGCTTGTATCCTCACATCCCCATCTCTCTCTGTTGGCCTTTTAGCCAGTAGGTATTTGATGGAGTTGAGATTGGAGAGGTTGGAGCCATGACTTGACATGAAAATCAGCTTCATGCTAATTTACATGTCTAGCTGATTTATTTATTTATTTATTTTGTCTTTCAAAAATCTAAACTGTGATAAATGCTCAGTTAATCCAGAACACAATTCTTCCAAGGTTGAACTGTTACCTGGCTTATGTAGTATGAATTTGATAAGAGTTTGCTGAATTTAACTGAACTGAATTTAACTTGAAGTCTCTTTTTATTATATACAATACTTGGCTTTTTCTTCTTAATGTTTTTATGACTATCAGATTGTGCCATTATTGTAGACCACATGTAAAAAATAAAAACACAAATGAAATTAAATCTAATTTTACAAATCGAGATATCAAGTATTAAGATGTTTTTCTATAGTTATATAAAATATATTCTTAAATTTATGCTTAGTTATCTATTAATAATAGATGAAATCATTTACTAATTGTTTATAAATAACATTTTTTTACTAAGCATTATTATTGATATTATTGTTATGTGCCATCGAGTTGGTTTCGACCCATAGCGACCCTGTGTAGGGATTCCGAGGAGCAGCTGGTGAGCTTGAACTGCCAATCTTGCAGTTCAAACAGCTTTTCAATCTGGCACATTAACCCTTTGATTTTTAAGAGAATAAGACAGATAACAAGAACACTTCACAAGTCTACATTTATTTAAAAAGTCAGCTCCCTAAATGTTTTCTAGCACTGATGCAAATTCATCACATTGTCCTATGTTCTCTTTTGGGCTATGGCAAGAATTGGCATACTTTATATGTAAAGGGCTTTTGTTGTTTTTGTTAAATGCCTTTGTGTTGGTTTCCATGGAACAGCTGGTGAGTTTCAACCACTGACCTTGGGGTTAGCAGTGCAGTGCTTAGTCTACAGTGCCATACCAGGAGGCTAGATAGTAAATAGTGTTACTTTGATAGGCCATACTATTTCTATTACAATTATTCAACCTTTCATTGTACCTCAAAGGTAATATATTTATAGATGACTGGATATGACTGTACTCTGTAAATAAAGTAAGACTTTATTTACAAAAATCAAGTGCCAGGCTGAATTTGGCGTGAGGGCCATTTTACTGAATGTACCATAAGGCATGTGCTATGAGGATTTCTTTTCAGACATTGTCAATATCAAAAGCAGTTTAAATATAAGCCAACGTGTCTTCACGAGTGGCTGAAAAAGTAATTGATATGTTAAGTTACCAAGGTTAAAACACACAGGTTTTTGATGAGCCTTCAATTAACCAAAACACCATTTAATTAATTTGAAGATTGTTCTTCAGAATTCTGTTGAGATTTTAGTGTTATTTTATATAATATGTTTTTTGTTGTTGGTCATAAGCAAAATGAAGACACTAATGATATCTAACACAATTCAGGCAAACTATGTTCATGTATATTTCCCCTCTGGTTTTGTCCAGCACATAAAAGGCATATGTTTGAATCTCATATGTATCCAGGTCCAAGGATTATGGTTTTTCTTTTGCACTTTGAATCATTTTTTCAAATTTGATTGACAGAAAATTATTTGAATATGGTACCCTTGGAGCGTTTTAAACCTTGGTAAATTTCTGCACATACAGACAGTCTTTTTTAGAGCCCTGGTGTGGATAAACACTGGACTGTTAACTAAAAGGTCCATGTTTCAAACTCATCAGCCGTTTCTCAGAAACACAGTACACGGTCACTATGAGTCAGAATTTACTCAATGGCGCTTAACAGCAACAACAAAGACATTCTTTTTCGGAGGTTGTGGTTGTTTTCTTCTTCTGTACTTTCCTTTGGGCACGGTCATGTACTGGAAGTTCATCAAGCTTTTTTTTTTTGATGCTTGTTTCAAAGTCATTTAAGCCTGGAAACTGGACACAGATAAAGTGTGTCACACACACACACACACAAATTCTACTCTTTGTAGAATGCTTTTCTACAGGTCCATCACTGTATGATCCATACATTGCTTGGTGTGATTTGCTTTCTTGTGATTGCTATGGTCTTATTCTAATATACATAGAACAACGTCTTTGGCACTGATTATCTACCACGTGCCTGTCGGTTTGTCATACTCTGGTGGCTTGTGTGTTGCTGTGATGCTGGGAGCTATGCCACTGGTATTTTGAATACCAGCAGTCACTCATGGTGGACAGGTTTCTGATTATAATAATTTAAAACTAAGTTATTGTGTAATTAATGATATAATGTTCCAGTGATATTGGAAATGGTAGAGAAAATAGATTTTGACTGGTGTAGCATGAATACTAAATCATATGCCATTTCTCCCCTAATTTTAGCATGCGTATTATAGTAGAACTGCACTTTTAAGACTTCTTGAAAAGAAATACAAGTCTTTGGTAAGTCTGTACTTCTGTTCCTATGCTAGAAATAATAGAAAAGACATAATGATGTAATAAGTTGAGCATGTTCCATTGAATGATATAGTGAATATTGTATAATAAAGCAATCCCCCTCTTAAGTGATCTATAAACTCCCACCCTGTAAAACTTCAAAGGATAAAAGTAGAGACTTACAATGCAGTTAGGATAGCAGTTAGGGAATGTATAAATATATACTAAATAGGATGTTACAAATAATGTGCTAATTTGAGAGAAGCCATATTTTTAAAGTAATTTGCTTTGGGTCAGATGTTAATAAGGCAGTTAGTTTCATGAAAATATCCATGTTTTTGAGTGAAACTTGCATGAAAAATCTCTAAATTACAAATTCTTTTACATCTGTGAAATTGAATTACCACAAATATGGATTAATATTGTAAATCTTGAATGGATCCCTATGTATTGTATTTTCCTGAAAAAATTCTCACAGGGTTCAAGTCTGCCAGCCTTTCCATGGGAGAAAGATAAGGCTTTGTGCTCCCACAAAGATTTTTTAAAAAGTTCTTGGAAACCTTATACAGGGACACTATGAGTCGAAACTGACTCAATGGCACTTAACAGCAATAAAGACAACTGTAAAATATACTAGTAAAACTATATTTATTACATACTATTAGTGGAAAAATATAAGGCACTGAAAGGAATGGAAAAGTTATCAGCAAGTCTAAGAAATAACAAAAATGAGAAAACAAATAATTTAGTAAAACATTTATAACCCTGTACTAATATAATTTTTTAACCAATATTTTATTGTGAATTATGTGATAGTTTACATGGGAGAACATTATCTTTACAGTCATCCTATCGTATATCATTACATTGCCATGGTTACAATCCCCTCCATGCATCATCAACCAACCAAAGGGTATACCCTGCAAGCCTGGCCCCAGGTCATCAGCATACAGCTCTTCTCCCTCTTTAGGTCTAGAGTCCCCAGCCACTCCATCTCTCCATGTCGTCGTTTCTGACTCCATCTCTGGTGTCACTGTTTATCTGGGTAGGGTTCCGCACTCTGCTCATCTCCCTTGATTGTCCCAGGGACCTCCACTCCTGGACTACTAAATCAACCACTCCCCTCCTTTTGCTACAAAATGTCTACCTGTACATCTCCAACCCTCACAGTCAGTCCTGGTAGTAATTATTCACTATTATATCACTTGAGTGCTATTCCTAACTCCTTTCATCAGTCCCGCCCAGACAGATTGGATACTACTCAGTGGAGATTCTACCTTTCTCCACGCTCTCTGGATCTAGGCTTCCTCTTGAAAGCTTGTAAGCCAGTCCCTTCTTGCCTTTGTAGCTCCCTGCCCCCCCCTCCCCATTTTGGGTAGCCAGTGTCCAAGTTGCCCATTGCTGTCTACTCTGTGTATTGAGGGTTTGGAAATGATTCTTGCTGTAAAGAATTTATTCCCTCTTTTGAGCTACTGCACCTATAGGTGTTGGTCAAGTTCATCAAATTGTATCAGATTACTCTTTTTTCCCCCTCTTCTTTCTTCTTCTAGTTGAGCTGTGATCATCCTGCCATTGAAGCCAGATCAAGTGGGTATTATCTGTAAGTGTGGGTGTTCTTGTGCATATGCCCTCTGTTATCAGCTGGATACTTCCTTCTCTACTCTAGTCCTCTGTGGCTATGTCACTGACTCTGGGCCCAGGATTCCTCAGGTCTTGCCATACTGCTGGCCAACCAGGTCTCCACTGGGTTCACAGGAGTCTACTGAACGTAGTTGGACTTAGCTTGCAGCTTCATTGCTGTTTTTCCCTTACTTCCCCTTATCAGTGACCAATGTGGTCACCAGTCAGAGCACATGTCTACTCGTGTATTCCCATTGAGTCTTAGTCTTGGAAGAGGGTTTTCCCCGAGGGGACCCGACCGCTTGCCTTGATGTGCCCTGGGCGAACAATTTGCTTGTTCTTGTAGTAGTCAGTCAGACTGTTGTTATTGTTTTGTATTGTTCTTGCTGGTCTTACTTTCAAGAAATATCTCTGTTCTTCTAGCCACTCCAGGCTAATCTGCTCGTCCTTTCATGTGGATATTTCTCACCTCAGAAGATTCTGGATGGGGTTCAGGATTCCACCTATGGTCTTCTGCAGTGCAGTAGCTCCACAGGAAGCCTCTTCACTGGGCAAGTTGTTAGCCCCATTTTAGGTATTCCAATCAGTTATAGGCAGAAGATGGACTTACAAGTTTTCTTTGGTGATATTCTGGCTATTCCTTTCTCTCCCCCTCAAGGGTCTATTTTATAATGGTGTGCAAGGGAAACCAAGATTCAAAAGACAGCCAAGCATCTTAACATTATTTCCCCCCTTTTGTCTATTTAAACTTGCCTCAATCCTTGTATCCCAGTGCCCTGTTGTTCCAAGGTTGTCCATATATCATTATTTACCTCTGTCCCACTTAGCCCATACAAACCTGCCTAATTGTTCTCCCATCCACCTTGTTCTTCCATTCCCCTCCCACTTCTTGTGTGTTGCCCTCCTCCCCAGCACCCAAACTATCCTGTGTCTATTTCCTACCCTGTGTTCCACCTTCCCCTCCCTCCACTCACCCCACCCCCACATCCCTGTAACCAGCAAATAATTTCCCCCCTCCCCCTTTTAGTATGGATTCTTTTTACAATAGTGGTCCTATGTAGTATTTTTCCTTTTGTGACTGACTTATTGCACTCAGCATAATGTCCTCAAGGTTCATCCACGTTATGTGGTGGCTTGCAGCTTCCTTGTTATTCTTCAAGGTAGCATAATATTCCATTGTGTTTATGTACCACAGTTTGTTTATCCATTATTCAGGTGATAGGCACTTAGGCTGTCTCCATCTTTTTGTTGTTGTAAGTACTGTTGCTATGAACATTGGTGTGCATTAATCTGTTTGTGTTATGGCTCGTATTTTTTGTGGGTAAATACTAAGTAGAGGAATTGGTGGATCATGAGGTATATCTATTTCCAACATTCTAAGGAGATGCCATATTGCTTTCAGAGTGGATGGACCATTTTGCAATCCCACCAGCAATGCAGGAGCATCCCAGTCTCTCCACATCCTCACCAACACTTATTGTCCTCTACAGTTTTTGATCTTTGCTGTTATTGCTGGTGTGAAATGATATCTCATTGTTGTTTTGATTTGCATCTCTCTAATGGCTAGTGCCACCACTTATCTGTCAGTTTGTAGTATTGTGGTGGCTTGTGAGTTGCTGTGATTCTGAGAGTTATGCCACCGGTATTTTAAATACCAGCAGGGTCACCCATGGTGGACAGGTTTCAGAT